CTAATATGCTTTTGGTTTCCCTCACAAATTTAAGGTCTGCTTATTCCTAGCTTGCTAAGGGATTTTATACTTTTTAAATAATGAATTAATTTTTCATTTATACTGAATGTTCTATGTCTACTTCTGTGATTTTTTTGGTTTTGGGTCGCACCCAGCAGTGCTCAGGGTTTACTTCTGGCACTGTGTTGAGGAATCACTGCTGGCAGTGCTTGGGGAACCATATGGAATGATGGGGATTGAAACCGAATTGGATACTTGCAAGACAAGCTCCCTGTTCACTGTGCTCTCTCGTGACCCTATTCAGGTGATTTTGTAGAATCTATAGATTTTTGTTACAATTTTGTACTTATTAATGCAGATACTTAAACATTTACAACATATTATTTTCTTTTTTTTGACAGTATCATATTTTTTCTTTCACTCAACTTTTATTATAATTATCTATTTTTATTTCCAAATAAGTGATCAAGGGGACTGGGTAAAATTGTGCACTAGTATGCCAGCCATCACACATTAAAAATCAACACTTCGCCTTGACTTGAAATGCTTTCTTTCCAAGTCCACAAAACCATGTTTTCCAAATCACCCTTTTCATAAGTATATCCTTTGGTTGTAGCCTCCAAAGACTGTCTGGTGGTCCGGCATCAGCAGTTTCCCCACAGAGTCACTGGCACAGACATCAGGTTTGACTCAAGTGGCTTTTCAACCCTTCTCTCTCCCCAAATTCTGCGGTTCTCCCTTTGCACCCGAACATCCCAGGCGACAGCTCCACTCCGGCATCGGGAGCCACCATCCCCCGCGAGCCATGTCTCAGTCTGCCCCTGCAGCAGCCGACCCTCACAGCGCCCCCTGGGTCCGGCCCTGTAGCTCGGGTGCCACTCAGGCCCTCGGCCGCCGCAAAAGGCGACAGTATCATATTTTTAAAAAATTTTTATTAGTGAAACACCATGAGGTACAGTTGTAGACTTACAAATTTTTGTGCTTGGGTTTCAGTTATACAATGATCAAGTACCCATCCCTCTAATAGTGCCCATTCTCCACCACCACTAATCCCAGTATCCCTCCCAGCCCCCCACCCTCCTATCCCACCCCACCTCTGTGGCAGGGCATTCCCTTTTGTTCTCTCTCTCCTTTTGGGTGTTGTGGTTTGCAAAAGAGGCATTGAGTGGCAATCATGCTTGGTCTATAGTCTACTTTCAGCATGCATCTCCCATCCTGGGAGGATCCTCCCAACACCCTTTACTTGGTGCTCCCTTCTATATCTGAGCTGCCTTTTCCCCTAGCGTGTGTGGCTGGCCTCCAAGTCATGAAGTAAACCTCCTGGTACTTATTTCGGCTGTTCTTGGGTGTTAGTCTCCTATTTTGTTACTTTATATTCCCCAGATGAATGCAATCGTTCTATGTAACATATTATTTTCTAACATAAATTCTATATTCCCTTTTTAGGGAAAAAAACTTTCATATACTATTCATATTTTCCCTTAAATTTTTCTTATTTCTCGTTACAGCATTATTTTGGGGGGAAGGGCCACACTCAGCAGTGATCAGGGCTTACTCCAGGCTCTGTACTCAGGGGTCATTCCTAGAGGGGCTCTTTATGGGATGTCAGGAATTGAACTCAAGTATGCTGTGTGCAAGCAAGTGTCCTACTGATTGCACTATCACTCCAGTCACTACTATTATTCTTGAATTGAACTGAGTAATTTTTTCTTTTTTGGGGTCACACCCAGAAATGCACTGGGGTTACTCCTAGCTCTGCATTAGGAATTACCCCTGGCGGTGCTATGGGGACCATATGGGATGCTGAAAATCTAACCCGGGTTGGTCATGTGCAAGGCAAATGCCCTACCTGCTGTGCTATTGCTCCAGCCCTGAATTGAGTATTTGTAGGATTCGTCTATTTCCTTTAGATGTAGGATTTATTTATCTATTTCATTTAGATGTCACTGACACATACTACTGATTTTTTATCTAACTATAAAAAGATAAAATTGTTTTTCAACAAGTGATTTACAATGTTATTAAATTTCAACTTATGGGACATTCATGATAAATCTAAATATCTGTGAATATTTGATATATATTTAAATACAGTTGCTATTATCATCTTAGTTTTAGGGCATTTGCCTTGCATGCGGCTGGCCCGGCTGACCGGGTTTGATTCCTCTCCCCTCTCGGAAAGCCCGGCAAGCTACCAAGAGTATCTCGCCCACACGGCAAAGCCTGGCAAGTTACCGTGACGTATTCGATATGCCAAACACAGTAACAAATTTCACAATGGAGACGTTACTGGTGCCCACTCAAGGAAATCGATGAACAACAAGAGGACAGTGCTATAGTACAGTGCTATAGTTGCTATTAAAATGTGAGGGGTATGATGCTGTATACTTTTCTAAGAGTCCTTATAGTCTATACTAAGGATGTGGCTCAGTGTATGGTTAAGACTTGGATTTGATCCCAAGCACCATGATATTTTTTTAAATGCTAGCATCTAAAGAAATATATGCTAGGATTTATCTGGAATTTGAATGTACTGAAAAGAATTTGATTTAAAACATTCTAATTGGGATAGAGACAAGTATAAAAACAAGATTGACCATAATGTCGCTTTGGTTTTTGGGCTACACCCGGTTCCTGGCTCTGTGCTCTGTAATCACTCCTAGCGGGGCTCGGGCATCATATAGCATGCTGGAAATTTAACCGGGCTTGGCTGTGTGCAAGCAGTGCAAGTGCACTACTCAATCTACTATCTGTTCGGTCACTCATATGTCATACATTGTTCAAGCTGGGTTTTGGGTACCTGGGGTTATTCTATCACACTCTATTTCTGTGTTTGAAATTTCAACAATAGAGCATTTTTCAAAATGTAATGTCCTCACTATAATTATGGATAGGAAAGTATCAGAAACTATTGAGGGGGGCAGAAGTATAGCTCAGCAGCCCTGTGAAGCCCTGAGACAGACCCCCAGAACCACAAAGAAAGAAAAAACTATTTAGGAATCTCCTGCAGTCATCCATGTAAGAGGTAAATAAAGTCGCACTAGAGACAACAAAACAGAACTCAGCAACTATTCAGGAGGAAGGAAGAATAGTGCTTAGTAACTCTTCAACTATGCAAAGTGAGAAAAGTCCAGGATAAAGCTCAGATTCTGAAGTCAAGGATAAATTTCAAATTATGAACCTAGGGATAGCAGTGAGAAGGGACAAAAGGAGAAAAGGCTGGTGTCTGAGGTGAGGTAGCTGATCCTCACCTTCAGTGGAGTCCAGCACAAAGAGAGCAACTGAAGCCAAGGAGAAAAAGAGGTACCCAGGATGAGGAAATGCCATGAAAAGTGTACATAGAGAGGGTATGTATGGTGCCGCCTAGCTGGTCAACCTGTACCTGCATCAGCAGCCTGGTGGTGCCTTCAGACTCCCTGATATCTCAAAATTGCTGCTGTGCCTTTGGCCGAACCCTAACAATTTGGGACCAAGTTTATCAAGAAATTAAACAGCCAAAAATTAGGTATGTGAGAGCCATGCCCACAAACCACCTCCAGCTCAGCTATACAAAGCTCATTTATCAGCCTTGTTTCAGAGACCAATAAATAAATCTCCAAAGAGATCAAAAGCTTCAGTTAATCTCATACCTGCGAATGGCTGAACAAACCAGGGTAAATCAGAGGGGGGCAGGTTAGTCTGGTGCCCACCCAAGCAGAGTGAGTCCCTGGCAACTGTTTGCTTCCACAACCCAAAATTGCCACTATATTCCCAATTTGACTCCACCATCTCAGGCCAAACCTCACCAAGTTATAATCTGCTGAAAATTCGGGTATGTGGGTTTTGCGAGTGAAATCTTCAGGCTTTCTTGTAGTTGGGATGGGCTACCTCCCCTCACTTCCCAATACTCTGGAAAGTACTGGCAGTCACCCCCACGAACCAACCCCAGCACCACCATATCAGCTCTTCTATCAGCGTTGTTCCAGAGCCCCATAAATAAATTTCAAAAGAGATCAAAAGCCACAGTTAATCTAGAACTCATGCATGGCTGAACAGACCAAGTTAAATCGGGGGGGGGGGGGGGCAGTTGAGCCTGGTGTCTTTGTAAGCAGAGCCCCTGGCAACCACTTGCTTCCACAATCCAAAATCACCACCATAGCCCCGGGCTGATTCCACAGTGTCAGGACGAACCTTACCAAGATATAATCTGCTGAAAATTCTGTTATGTGGGTTTTGTGACTGAAATCTCCAGGCTTTCTTGGGGTCAGAATGGGCTACCTGCCCCCACTTCCTGTACTTCCTGAAGCTTTGGCAGTCACATCCACACCCCCAAACTGCCACCCAGTTAAAAACCTACTCCAGCCTACCGTCCCGATAAAAATACTGAATGCCCTGAACAAACACTATAACCTCTTAGTTCCTGTACTGCAAACCATAATGCACAAAAGGAAAGGAGAGAGAGCAAGAAGGGGGTGGAGGGTGGGGTGTTGGAGGATGGTGGGAGGGAAACAGGGGACACTGGTGGTGGTAAATGTACACTGATGGAGGGATGGGTGCTGGATGGTATGACTGAAAACCAATTCTGAACAGCTTTGTAATTGTCTATCTCATGGATATTCTATTAAAAACATTTTAAAAACAGTAATGTGAAGTTTATGCCCACTTCAATCAGCTTATTCAGTGGCTGAATAGTACTCCTACATCTTAAAATAAATAAATTAATAAAAGTATGCATAGAACAGAATTCAGAGGAATACAATAGGTCTATTATTTGCTGCAAAGGAGTCCACTTTCCCTGTGTATCTGGGATGAGACATGTGTAGCAGGAACTAGGGGTGGAGAGCCTGTGTCAATGTGTGCCTATGGAAAAAAACCCTAGATTACAACTCAATTCCCTGTCCCATGCCAGCTCTCCCTTCTTTCTAACCCTGGTATCCAGAGGGCCCCCCAAGGCTGACCCCCTCTTAGAACAACAAGGAAGATTTTCCTACCCCACCACCGCCCCAGCAGCTGATCCTCACCTTCAGATCCTCACACAGGTCGCCATAGTCGATCTCAATGAGGGCCTCTCGTGCATAGATACTTGATGTTCGCTGGGAACCACTCACTGAATCTTCTCCCTGGGAACTACCCTGTAGTGGCAAGATGGGGAGTCTAAGTAAGCAGACTAGCCATGCCAGCACCCTTCTAAGATGGGGGCTGCAAACTGCTTTGTAGCCTTCAATGTCTTTGAGAAAAGCCCCTTAAAGAAAACACTTATGACAGAACAGCGGCTTTGAAGCTATAAAATATCTGAGATGAAAACTGGGTTCTATTGCTCACTAATGGCATGGTCCAGGGCAAGCCAGGTTGTCAGATCCAGGGTTCCCCCATCTGTAACATGAGCTGATAACTGAATGACAAAACTGTGATCAAGATTAGGAATAATTCATTACACCACATGCTACCTAGCAGTTTTGCTGTTAAATTTTTTTGTAAAATTAAACTGAAATACTATTTAGGGAGGGGAAGGAAATGTGGATTAAGATTAACTGCGAACCTGTCATGTGACATGTGGATTAAGATTAACTGAAAAGGGACTGGAGCACTAGCACAGCAGGTAGGGCATTTGCCTTGCACACGGCTGACCCGGGTTCGATTCCTAGCATCCCATATGGTCCCCTGAGCACTGCCAGGAGTAACTCCTGAGTGCAGAGCCAGGAGTAACTCCTGTGCATCGCCAGGTGTGACCCAAAAAGAAAAAAAAAGATTAACTGTAAACCTGTCAGTTAATATTCCCCCACATTCCACTACAAATCTCCACTTCCAGTTGATAAGATGTCAACTCCTCTATTAGCCAGTGTCCCTCTCTTTCTTATAACTAAGCATTTTTACCTCTATATCGCTCAACTGTCTCCTAGCCAACCTCCCTCATTGCAGCTATCATCTCTTCAGTTCCTGTCTTCCTTTTCTCTTGGACTAATGTCCCTCAATTCCCACTCCTACCAATAGCCACTAATACCTGCCAGAGCTAACATAATTCAAATCCCTAAGCTTAATAAGTAATTTCCTGTTCTCGTTTACATCTGTCACCACTTAATGACAAACAACTCTATCCACAATTCAATTTCCCTTTCACAAAACCTGTCTACATCCTGCCTTATGTCTCCTATATCCCTTCAGGCCCTCACTATCCCCTGCTACACCATCTTCTTTTCTAGACAATTTTAGCCCCTATCTGCAGTTAAAGTTGTTCTCAAATCACCCCAATACCAGCCATAATACTCACCTCCTCCTGACTAATATCATCCATGGTACCCTTAGACAGTGGCAGCTTAATGTCTTGCATCTTGCAGGCCTGCAGCAGGTTGTGGCGGTCACTGCGCTTCTGTTCAAGCTTGGTCTCAATAGCTGTCACCTCCTTCTGTAAATGGGTCATTTCCCTAAGATGCAAGGAACCAAGTAAGATACAAATCCAGAAGACTGCCTATTGTACCCACTTCCCCCAACCCTAGGTTTGAGTCCACTCACTTGTTGGCGCCCCCCAGTTTCTTACGAATCTCCTCCATTTCATGATTCTTGTCATTCACCTCTGACTTCTTGGCCAGGTGCTGATTCTTCAGGTCTTGTAGCTGGGCCATGGTCTCATCTATGATCTTCATGTGTCTTTGCTCCTCCTGGTCCCAGCAAGGGGAACAGGATGAGGTGAAGAGTTTGCCCATCTCACAGATCTCCACATACCCCACCACCCTTTCCATAAAGCAGCTTGCTGTAGCCTCTCTTAAATGAGCCTGTTTTTACAAATCCCCACCACCCTTTAAGCTTCATTCAACCTGCAAGCTGCAACCTTCAAGATTCATTCAACCTTTTCGAAATTACATGATTGTCATCCACAGCACATACCCATTATAAAAGTTGTCTACTGGGCCTGGAGAGATAGTAGCATGGGTAGGGTGTGTTCCTTAGACACAGCAGACCCAGGTTCAAACTTTGCCACATATGGTCGCCCAAGAGTTAAGAAGTGAGTTCTGAACAGAGAGCCAGGAAACCCTTGAGTACTGCTGTGTGTGGTCCAAAAACAAACAAACAAAAGCTGTCTGCTATAGAAAAAGTATAAACCAGGCGATGTGGGGCAGAATCACTCAGTATTTCATCAGATATAAGCAATTAACATTTTAGCCTATTTTCCCCTGGTACTACTTATCAACACTTCTACAAAAAGAAGACTGGACTGCAAACTATAGATTTGGTGAAGGGATACTGGTACTTTGGTGATGGATGTGATACACTGTATATAAAAGCATAAACATTAATACTATTACAAACCATATTACCTTAATAACAACAAAAATAATGTAGTTGGACATGTAGTTCAGTGGTAAAGCATTTGCCTTGCATGTGTGAGGCCCTGGGTTCAATCCCCAACACCAAGAAAATTAAAAGTAGGGGCTAGAGAGATAGCACAGCGGGTAGGGCATTTGCCTTGCACATGGCTGACCCAGGTTCGATTCCCAGCATCCCATATAGTCCCCTGAGCACCGCTAGGAGTAACACCTGAATGCAGAGCATAGAGTAACCCCTGTGCATCACCGGGTATGACCCAAAGGAGCAAAAAAAAAAAAAAAGAAAATTAAAAGTATATTACCACACCACACACATAGGCAAAATATAACCTCTACATGCTGATTTTGGGCTGGAGCGATAGCACAGCAGGTAGGGCATTTGCCTTGCATGCAGCCAACCCGAGTTCGATTCCTCCACCCCTCTTGGAGAGCCTGACAAGCTACCGAGAGTATCTTGCACACATGGCAAAGCCTGACAAGCTACCTGTGACATATTCGATATGCAAAAACAGTGACTACAAGTCTCACAATTTGTTGTGAGATGTTACTGGTGCCCGCTCAAGCAAATTGATAAACAACGGGAGGACAGTGCTACAATGCTACTTTCTGTTTTGTGATATTTTAGCACCTTTTCTACATTGACTCTACTTTCATGAGCAATATAATTTTTAAAACTTTAGAGCCACTAATGTGGTTCAGTATATCCTGAAAGCATGAAATCTGGGTTTGATCCCTGAAACTTCAAAAAAATTTAGCCCACACAGTGCTGAAGAGATAATTCAAACTCAAAGGGCTGGATGCACAAAAGCCTAGGTTTGATTCCTAGTACCATAGGCCCCAGATAAAAGCAAAACAGCACAAATACTACTATTTTTTAGGAATACACATAAAGTATAAAAGTATTTTATTCTTCTAGAACAAGATCTGGAAAAAATACACAGTACATGGAATTAGTGCTTGAAAGAGTAAGGAAACTAAAACCAAGAGTAGTCACTCAAAGGGGATTGTAGTCTTATTTTTAATATTCTAACTTTTAAAGAATTCTTTGCTTTCACTTTGTTTTTAAAGTACCATAAAGGGGATATATCTAGCCACTCACAAATTAAAGGATCAAGAAGATTGCTCAAAAAATTGAAGCATATGCATCCATGTATGCATGCAAAGAGTCCTAGGATCAACATGCATGGTCCCCTGAGCACTGCCAGGCACAAGGTGTGCCTCCTTCAAAAACGGATAAAGATGGGCCACACCGCTCTCCACAGGCTCAGACAAACCTCACCTATGGGGGAACCTGCAGAAAAACCTAGGTATGCTGGACCTGTGACTGAGATCTTAGAGCTTGCTTGGAATGGGACTGGGCCTTGTACCCCCAACTCCCCAGTTTTCCAGAAGCTTCGCAGTCACACCCACAAACTGCCTCTGGCGCCATATAATCTCATCAATGGCCAAGATCCAGAGACTATGACATAAAGTTCCCGGAAGAGTGACACAGAATGTCCTGGAGCATGTGGCCACATGTGCAGTCGCAGGACCTCTTACACTCTAGCCACTACTACCAAAAGTAGCACACATTTGTTTGGGTTTTAACATATATGTTTGTAATTGCTTATACAAAGGCTTAAATGGCTCCTGGATGAAATACAACAATCTTCACACACTTTCCTCTTATGGTGGTGGGAAGGTGCACGGTGATGGGATTGGAGTTTGAATATTATCTGTATTGTGAACAACTTTATAAAAATTTTTTTAAAAGATGGGCCACAGAGATAACACAGAGGATGGGGGCTTGCCTTTCATGTGGCTGACCTGAATTCAATCCCTGGCATGACATATGGTCCCCCGGGCACCACCAGGAGTAAATCCTGAGTGCAGAACCAAGAGAAATCCCTGGACATCCACCAGGTATGGCCCAAAAGCCAAAAATAAATAAATGCATGAAGAATATAAAACTAAGAACATTAACATATAGGACCCGAGAGATAGTACAGCATGTAGGGCACTTTTCTTCCATGCAGCCACCCCGGGTTCAATCCCCAGCATCCCATATAGTTCCCTGAGTACCACCAGGAATAATTCCTGGGTGCAGAGCCAGGAATAAGCCCTGAGCATTGCCAGGTGTTGCCCCCAAACAATAAAACCAAAAAATAAATGCAACAATCAATTTTGTATCAGTGATCGGCAGATGAAGTTCTTAGTACTACTCTTACAACTTAGTGTTACGTTTAAAATGATTTTAAAAAAGGAAAAATCATAAATATAATTCTGAATTCTAACTATCTACACCAAGCACTGCCCAAAATGATCTGTACTTGCATTTAAGATCCCAGTGATACCTTACTCAACAGAGCCTAACAGGAGAAAAACCCACACCTATCAACATTATAAGCAGGCATATATAATCTCATCAACGGCCATGATCCTGATCTCTCATTATAAATCTCTCCAAAGAAAGCACAACACAAGATGCCATAGCCATGCCGCCAGACCTTGCGCCAGGCTGATTTATTCAGGGTAACCCAGAGGGAGGCAGGTGAGGTCCCTCCCCACCCCAACATAACCTGCCCCTGCAGCCGAAAACTTCCAGAACTCAAGCACCACCATACTCATGGCCGCTCTCCACAAGCTCAGATCTAGCCTTACCCACGAGTGAACCTATTCCTGGATCATGCAGCTGCATTTGCAACCACACAACATCCCATACCTCACACCACTAATATTCCAAGAATAGCACACCACATTTGATGGGGTTTAAAGTAGAAGGCAACCAATCTTTGGGGAAAATATATTTTTACAGATACACACACATATGTGTGTGTAAACATGTATATGTAAGCAAACAAGTATCAACCTTTAATAAAATGTTAGTAGTCTGTTATAGAAGGGCTTAATGGCTCCTGGGTTAAATACAACAACCCTCACACAATTTTCCTCTAAGAAACCTTTTTTGGATCATTTTCAGCAGATTACTCATAACAAACAATACAAAATAAATTATTTCGGTTCTGCTTTGGGGCAAGGGTTGACATTCAGGATGGAAACATCCGAAATACGGTGGTGGGAAGGTGTAATGGTGATAGGACTGGTGTTCAAATATTAAATGCAATCAAATATTGTGAACTACTTTATAAAAAAATAAAATATAAGGAGACTTAAAAATCAAGTTCTCTGTTCAAATCAAGTGAAGACCAAATCTCAGGAGGGATGCTATGATAAATAGGCTTCATTACAATTTAAGGAAAAGGGATGTGGGACACTAAATCATCAAATACCCAGTGATATAGAGGTACCTGACCTGATACTCAAAACCAGAACTGTCAAAAACACAGGTGCAGGGCCTTGAGACATTATGGTAGTTAAGGTAATTGCCTTACACTCAACTGACCTGGGTTCAATCCCCACCACTGCATACGATGCCAAGTCCTACCAGGAATGATCCTTGAGCACTGAGCCAGAATAAACCCTGAGCACACTCAGGTGTGGTCCAAAACAACAAGAAGAGCACAGGTACACTGTAAAATGAATTTGTTTTCAGCAAAACATCACGGTCTGAGGCTAAAAAGATGGCTCAAATGAGCTTGGAGCATACTCTGTATGATGGAGGTCCAGATTAAACCCTAAGACCATATGGTTCCCCCCCAAACACTGAGCTGGGATCTGAGGGTGTGCCCTTCTCCCTAAAAACAAACAAACAAACAAACAAAAAACAAAAAAAAAACCCACCATGGTCTGCCGCACTAAATTAACATGGTTAATTACAAATTTCAATTTGTAATTTTTTTTTGGCACCTAGGTCCTAATTTGTAACACAGTTTTGCTTTTTGGTTTCAAAGTACATATTTGCATATGCCATACTAAGAATTTTTTAAACACAGGAGATTTAATACACACACATATATGTATACATATGTTCTTGGACAACAACCAGCAGTTCTCAGGGATTATTTCTGGCAGGGCTCAGAAGACCATATGGGGTGCCAGAGATTACTACCCAGGGCAGACGGGTACAATGTCCTACATACTATACTGTCATTCCAGTTTCAGGAATATTATTTCTTTAAAAAGGGGAGGGCCGGGTGATAGAACAGTCAATAGGGCTTTTGTCTTGCATGTGGCTAACTCCAATTTGATCCCTGGCACCACTGATATAGCCCCAGAAGACCGCCAGGAATGATCCCTGAGTAAGCCCTGAATACTCTAAGTGTGGCCCCAAAACAATAGACATCACTGTAGCACTGTCCTCCCGTTGTTTATCAATTTGCTCCAGCGGGTACCAGAAACGTTTCCACTGTGAAACTTGTTACTGTTTTGGCATATTGAACATGCCACAGGGAGCTTGCCATGTGGGCGGGATACTCTCGGTAGCTTGCCGGGCTCTCCGAGAGGGGCAGAGAAATCGAACCCGGGTCAGCCGCATGCAAGGCAAATGCCTTACCCTCTGTGCTATCACTCCAGCCCTATCTACGTATCTATCAAAATAACAGACAGATAAATAAGTAAATAATGTTTAGGGGGCCTGAGTGATAGTATAAGCAGGGCACTTGCATTGCACATGCCTAACCCAGGTTCAATCCCCGGAATCCCAGATATTCTCTAAACCCCTCTAGGAATGATCCCTGAATTCAGAGTCAGGAGTAAGTCCTGAGCACTACTGGATTTGACCAAAAAACAAATAGCAGTCAGGGGTCAGGGAGATAGCTCAAAAGCCTGGAGTACAGGCATCATTAAGTGAGTATCCAACATTATAAAGATTTCCTTATAAAGCTGGAATATCTTACACAAGGTCCACCAAGCATTGCCAGGTGTAGACCAACACAAAATACGACAAAAAAGGGTTTCATGTCATTACTAAAATTTAAGGACCAGTAAATTATATAAATATTTGTATAAATTTAACGTAAATTGCTAAACTCCAATTCCACAGGGTACTGGATACTTTCAAATTTAGAACTGCAATGACTGGAATAAACATCAACTGTGTGCACAAACTGCCAACATAGGTGCTTAGGTGAGCACATGTCTTGCATTTCTGTGGCCCTGGGTTATCACTAGCATCACACACACACACAAAATTCTTTGATTTCTAGTAAGGCTAAATTATGTGTATGTTGTGGGCTAGTTGATTCTCTTAAACTATTTGTCACTTACTTTTTTTCCTATTTAGGTTTGTGATTTTTTATTATTTTGATAAGAGCTTTATAAATTACTACTATCCTATTTGTCCTCACTTCAAATTTTGTCCTCCAGGTTTTAAACTGTCTTTTCATGTTATCCTTCCTTACCTTCTTAAGTTTTTCTATCTCATTTTCATCCTTTTTCACAGTCTGCTCCCACATGTGTACTTTATCCTGGTCTTCTTTCAATTGGTTCTTTTCAAAATCCAACTGGATGCCCAAGCGAGTTTTCTGATTTTCAAACTCCAAACTGTGGGAAGAAAGAATAACTAGATCCAGGGTACAGGGGCCCAAGCAAAATTTCAGTCACTACTCAGCTCATTCACCCAGATCCACATAAACTGTCCCCTGAACTTAGAGAACTAAGTTCTCAGCCCAATTTTGTATATATGGAACAAGGCAGGAGAGGTGAGGAAAAACTCCATAATCCCCTGGTAAACACTGGCATACTTCAGACTTCCTAGAATGAAACACAAAAGGCCCATCTGAACCCACCAGCTATGATAATTTCTACTTATTAAGCTTTTACATACTTAGCATACATTACCTCTAATCCGCTAATCAATAGCTTCTCAAGCAAGTATTATTATCCTAATTTTACAAAGGAGAAAAATTAAACCAAAAGGTAAATACCTTGCTCAAAGTCACACAGCTAGTAAAATGTAAATGTGAGGCTGGAACCCAAACGTTCTAACTCCCAAATTTGGGTTCCAGTAATGAATTAATAGCAAAGGTATTCCAACTTTGCAATTTGCTAGTAATATAATCTCAGGCAAATTAATTCAGGCCTCCATTTTCTCATCATATAAAGTCCTTAGAATCATACAAGGCACACAAAGTATTCGATTTCTAATTGTCATCATAATCTCACCATTGTCATCATCATCATCATCAGACATACTGTGATTAGCTCTTATTTGTCCATGGACTTTAAGTCTTCCCAACTACCCCTACCTCATACTTACCCTACCCTAAGATTCCAGAAGCCTTAAGAGGCACAATTTGGAAAATACAGCAAGGTGGAGAAAATTAACTAAATTCCCATTATTGCCCTCCTTCCGATCTCTTCAGAGACTCAAGAGTGCACAGACTCTAGTAGCAGGAGGTCAGGAAAGGCTAACTTTCCCCAACCCACATGTGACAGATGCAGCCAGACATAATTTTAGCAGCTTAAACCTATTAGTCATTACAATACAAATGGAAAGAAATTAATGCCATAATTTGAAGATAAGCAATTTTAAGTCCAATCTCCTAATCATGACTCATAAAGCCCTCTGATCTGGCCCCTGCCAACCTTTCTACCACCCCTTGCTTTCTTTCTGACCCAATTTTATGCTCCAGATACTCAAACCTACTCATTTCCAGAACAAGGAGTACTTTCTCACACCTCCAAACATGCTGTTATCACTGCCTGGAATCCTCTTCTGTCTGCTGCCTGGCAGAATAAAGCCTACTCACTTTACAGGTCTCTGGCTCAGTTTATCATTTCTATTCTATAAAACCTCTCCTGTTGGTTGTGAAAAGTTTCTTGGTTTCTATTACTTTGTCGGCCTCTTCCTGAATTCAGTCAATCATATCCCACAATTTCTAACACATTTATGTGGATGTGGTTCAGTGATAAAGAGCAAGTCTCATAGGTGTAAGGCCCTAGGTTGAATCCTCAGCAATACACACACACACACACACACACACACACACACAAAGACATAACACAACTAAAGTGCTGAGTCTAGTTCAGGGCTTCTTCTCTTTCTGGTAATTAAGTTTGGGGACATTAAGACATGAGCTGGGGGATATGATTGGGTAGATGGTATTTCCCTATTCATTTCCCTTCCATCTTACAAAAAATGAAAAAAGAAGAAAAAAGTCAAAGAAGACATAACACACTTATGAGCACTGTCTGATGCAAGATCCTTCCTTTGTTACCTTTGTTTCAAAGCATGATTTTAATTTTTAATTTCCCCAAAATGAGTGCACTCCAAGGTGTGTCTGTATGTGTGTCTCACAAATACTTACAGCCTAAAAATGTACATCCTTGTAAAATGTTTAAATTTATGATTATGCCTGGTAAATTTACCAAATTACTGCCTATAAATATAGTTAATACTTGAACTGCTACGATCTATACATTCACTACAAAGTGACATGTTCCCTCAGTGATGACATCTATGATGCCACCAATATCCCACTAACATACATTATACTAAGATGAACACTGAATATGTCTCTTTGCAAGCCATAAGCAAAACTCCCTATGATATCTATCTAGCACTAGCTTTACTACCCCATAGTGCTTCTGTAGACTTGTTTTTACCAAGTACTGCTAATTTGTTTTAATTTGTCTATCTCTGAATAGGAATGAGATCAAACCTCAATTCACATAGTTGTCAGATATGTGAGCTTTTCTTTTCACGAAATACTAGTATATCATTTGTCCATTTTCCTACTGTATTTCATTTCATTTTTCCCTCATTGATTTTTAGTTCCCTGAAAATTTCCTCTGCATTTTGTATATACCTCAAGTACAAAATCAACCACACTGTTCTGAAATCGTTGACTTAGTTATTTATTTCTCCCACTACTCCACAACTCCAAAAAGGGATAGTCTTTGATTCAATTTCTATAGCCCTTAAGCATCTAATTTTGTATAAATGAACCCCAACCCACCAATATCTAGCAAAGAACAACTTGGCAGAATAAAGAAATTATAGATGAATAAAGTGGAAAAAAGGAGAAACTGTTACTCTGCTCTTACTACTCTTCCAATCTAGAATTTTTGTCCTCATTGCCACCCTTGCCCAATAGGACATAGTAAGAAAAGCAAATAGAAAGTAATTTATGGACGAGAGAGACAGCTCAATAGTCTGAGTGCATGCTTTGCATGTAGGAGACCTGGGTTCAAGACGCAGGTTTGATCTCCAGTAATACATATGAACCCCCAGATACTGTCAGATGCAACCCCTGAGGCAACAAGTTGGAGTAGTACTTAAGCCCTGCCAGATATAGATAAAAAGGAGAAGAAAAGAAAGAAAATTGGAGCTTAGAGGTTTTTACTGCCCTTGATAAATTGTGGAGCTATGTTTTAATTTTGGTAAACTATCTTCAAACTGGCAGTCTCAACCACTATACTACTCCACATTTCTCCCTATCGTAGGTAGACCTACTTACAACAAATTCTAATCATTCTACAATCTGGTTCCTGCCTTATGATGACATCTGAATTTCTACAATATCATAATGAAAGTTCAAGGGAATCCCAGTTTCTACTCCCTATTCCACCTACCGCTTCTTGGCAATTTCATTCTGTCGCTTCACCTTCTCTTCCTCAAACTCTCGGATGTTGCGTACACCTATCTCCCGACAAAACTCTTCAAAAACTTCATCTTCTACCTGAAGGAAGAAATGAGGAAGTAAGGGAGGTAGCAAAGGAAAGGTCCTTGCGTATAAGCCCTGATTTTAATTAGGATACACATTCTAGCATGGCTCATCTCTTACCAACCTGATTCATCTTTTCCTTCAAGTCTTTCATTTCCCTCTCTCGGCTCTGGATAATCCTCTTGATATCATTGATGCGAGGCCCAAAGTTGGCTAGTTCACTCTCCAGCTTGGATTTTTCCTGCAGAATGCAATTGTGAGAGCAAAAGAAACCAAGCTCTTTGGAGGCCAAGAGTCCACTGATCCCAAGGTCAGGAAGGGCTAGCTCTCCACACCCTAAAAGCACCTGATCTGGGCTGGAGCAATAGCACAGCGGGTAGGGCATTTGCCTTGCACGCGGACAACCCGGGTTCGATTCCCAGCATCCCATATGGTCCCCTGAGCACTGCCAGGGGTAATTCCTGAATGCAGAGCCAGGTGTGACCCAAAAAGTCAAAAAAAAGGACCTGACCTAGCAATGCCCCTGTCAAAGCTTTCTATCCTCCCATTTGTAATCTCACTTGGCTTGTTCCCTGACTCCCAGGTCAGCAAGCTTCAAACCACAGGCTGAGAACGTAGTAAACAATGTAACTTACAAATTCATATTCTCTTATTCATAACCCTTGGGATCAGATTCAAAAGTTAGAATTCTTTATTCTCTAACTCCCATTTTACAGATAAAGATAAAAATCTGACAAAGAAAGGTCAAGAAACTTGCTTAACTGCAAGCCTATGATCACAGTTCAAATCCTGTGTCCACATACATAGGATGCAATCCTGGCAGTTCTGCTAGCAGTGCTCACTGCACCATAAATGAATTTCTGCTGTCCTGCAGCTAGGTGACTGTAAGCACTACAATGGGGTACAACCCTAGCAAGTATCACAACAAAAAAAGACTAAGTGAGCTCAACTCCTAGTGAAAACATGTCTGAATACTACAGTGACCCACTGCAAGCACAATAACCAGAACAACCATGAGTGCCGCAAATAAAAATTATGACCCCCTGTAAGTACATGTACAAGCACCTCAATTTAAGAGGTGCAGACACTGGTGGACATTGCAGCGTGCTACAAAACCAAGTTATTACAAAATCAACAAAAACAAAAAAATAAAGGTGGAAGGAATTTTTAAAAAGCACAAATCTGAACCCTTGTCTATGCCAGTACAGATTTCCTAAAACAGGCTGAAAAAGAGGGGGAACTGAGATAAGCTCCCCACCTCCAGGGAAATAGAGACTAGGAATATATGGAGGAATGTTTGGAGGATAGAGTTGAAGGTTAAGGCCCACCTGCAGATTGAGGGCTAGATGCCGTGTCTTGGTCTGTTCCAGGTCACTCTGTGAATACTTGAGCCGCATCTGCAGTCCATGGGCCTGAGACTGCACTTGACGTAGTTCTGCTTCTTTTCGCTTTGCCTTCATCTGCTCCTGGAGTGGATAAGAAAAAGAGCTAAGTTTTACGACTGTGACTGGCCTAGATTTAGCAGTCCTACTCCTAGAGGCAGTGTTGCCAATGGCTTACTTTTAGCTCCTCTGTCAATCTCTCCTTCTTCTCTTTCAATTTGTCTACAGCTTTCTCATCCCAACGCCTTGCCTTGGCCTTCAGATCACTGGCCCCGCCAGAGATCACTCCAGATTTCTGGAACAGTGTACCATCTAGTGCCACTGTCTATAAATAATTGGGGGAAGAATAGAGAGAGGAAGAAAATGAACAGGAGAATCTTCAGTACTAAGTGTGTGCAATTCCAGTCCAGGCAAAGGAATCCATACCTTGTGACGCTGGTGTCCGCCAAAAGCAATGCGGCGGGCATCCTCTACATTATCACAGACAAGGGCATTTCCACAAGCATATTGCAAGGCCTTTTTAATATGAGGTGGCTCATAGCGAATCACATCAATCACCAGCTTGGCCCCCTTCAGCTCTCGGAGTTTCTCATCTGTAGGTTTCACCTATGGGAGAAGTTTGGTAAGTGGCAGAACATGGAGAGCTAGGAAGAGAGGCACTCTCACAATGTTCTGCTCCATTCCCTACCAGGCTCACCTCCAGATAGTCAAGAGGCAAGAAGGTCTCAGGTTCCCCACGCTGTTCCTTGATATACTGAATACAGTCACGGCCTGTCTTCTCTGAATCCACAATAATGGCATCCATGTTCTTGCCCAAAACCTTGGTTACTGCAATCTGATACTTCTTTTGTGTGGGTTGGCAGAGGTCAATGAGGCGCCCATACTGAGTAAAGTCGGAAAAGAAAAATAAAGCATGAAGTTTTGAGAAGCTGTGGGAGAATCCCCAGTATGAAAATCCCCAATCCCCAGGATGAAACCTGGGGAAAGGCCAGAATCTTTATCCGGAACACAATACGGTATGGAGGAAAAGCATACTCAGCTCACCCCTACCCCCATACAAAAATGAAACCAGGCCATCGTGTCTGAATCCAAAATCATCTTTCTAAACCTCACCATTACTGTTTCCCAGATTACTGCCTCTAGCTGATATGCCAGAAACCTTAAATGTATTACCTCAATTTCTCATAAGCACCCAGTCAAAAGAAGAAGTTCCCGTTTTTCTAGTTTACTTTTCCATATCCCCATATCCAAACCAACCATAGATCCTTAAGAACTATCAGATACACATTAAGATCTTCAAGGATAGGGATGGAGAGAAAGGACAGAGGATATAGCACTTGTCTTGCAAGTGGTCAACTCAAGTTCAATTTTTAGCACTGTATAGTTACCAAGTACTGTCATGCCCCCCGCCCCCATTACCACTGGGTATGGTCCAAAAGAAACAAATTATCTTCAAGGACAGAGACTGAGGCTAATTCATCCTTATAAACTCCTCAGTAGTATCTAGAGGAAAGATCAGGAAATATTTGTGAAAACAAATGAAGTTCAACCCAGGAAGATTACCAAAAATAGTTAATATTTAAGGAACTTGGGAACTCTGTATTTAGTTCAAGAGGACAATAGATCCAATAAAATCTAAGCTATCCCCCCAAAATGAGCCAGTTGGTACATGTTAAGAGATCTCATACCAAAATGTGCACAGAATGATTTCCTGGGAGACTTATTCCCTGCCCCATGGATCTTCCCATTTCCAAAGGCCTCTCCAGTTACCCCCATCTTCTACAGAAGAGTGAACACAAGACAAAATGTTGAAGAAGAGGTGAAAAGGATGAAAAGATGAAAAGAATAAGTTAAGATTCAGAGAGGCTGGAGAGATAGTACAGCAGGTAGGGTGTTTGCCTTGCCCAGTCAAACCAGGTTCAATCCCCAGCATCCTATATGGTCCCCCAAGCACTGCCAGGAGTAATTCCTGAGAGAAGAATTAGAAGTAACTGAACATCGTTAGCTGAGGCCAAATTCCCCAAAGAAAAATCTAAAGTGCCTGCCCTGCAGGTATTTGGTTATGATTTTCAAGCCACTAGTATTCCATGTGTGCTGACCAGGGTACAGGCAGACCTAGTTTTTAATCCTACTGCCTTAGCTTAACTGTCTGCACTGTAGCACTGACCTCCCGTTGTTCATAGATTTGCTCGAGTGGGCACCAGTAACGTCTCCATTGTGAGACTTGTTACTGTTTTTGGCATATCGAATATGCCACGGGGAGCTTGCCAGGCTCTGCCATGCGGGCGGGATACTCTTGGTAGCTTGCTGGGTTCGCTGAGAGGGATTAAGTAATTGAACTCAGGTTGGCCGTGTGCAAGGCAAATGCACTACCCGCTGTGCTATTGCTCCAGCCTTAGCTTACCAACACGACAAAAATTTCCATGCATGGGGCTGGAGCAATAGCACAGCGGGTACGGCGTTTGCCTTGCATGCGGACAACCCAGGTTCGATTCCCAGCATCCCATATGGTCCCGTGAGCATGGCCGGGGTAATTCCTGAGTGCAGAGCCAGGAGTAACCTTGCACATCTCCAGGTGTGACCCAAAAAAGCAAAAAAAAAAAAAATTCCATCCATACCAGCCAGAAACGTATGAGCAACACAAAAAAGGTTGCCACCCCTGGTGAATTCTAAAACTAAGTGATGAGTTGGCACCAAGCCTGATGTACAGCTACCACAAATAGACATGCATGAGCCAGGAAAGGCAAACTCAGCAACTGCTAGTGCTACCAATGTGATGCCGCACTAGCAACACAATCATAACCATAAATTGAGAGCTTCGATTAGATTGTGATCCCTCGCAAGCACATGGGTAAACACCACAACTAAAGGAGTGCAACACACAATGAACACCCATGGCTAAACATGCAAGCACCACGACCAGACATGTAAGCCCCATCAAGCATAGCTAAAAATGTGAGCTCTACAGTCACAATGACAATTAAAAGGGAAGGTGTGGGCAGGGCATTAAAAAAAGAAAAATCATGCCTTTTGGAACAAACTAGATGAAACCTGAAGTGACTGAGGTAAGTGAAGTAAGTACAGAAGTGAAGGATAGGAGTAAGGGCAATAGTAGAGCAGGTGGGTAGGGTGTTTGCCTTGCATGCAGCCGACCCAGGTTTGATAGCTGCCATCCCATATGGTCCCCTGAGCCCGCCAGGAGCCAGCCCTGAGCACCGCTAGATGTGTCTCCAAAACCAACCAAACAAGTAAAACAAGAAGTGAAGGATAATACTACAGTGTGAAATATGAATAACAAATTAATAAACAACTAACAAAAAACAACTGAACTGGGAAATGTACACTGGTGAAGAGACAGGTATTGAAGCATTATGACTGAAACCCAACATGAATAACTTTACAACTGTATCTCACTGTGATTCAATTAAAAATTTTTTTAAATTTTAAAAATAACTGAACTCTCTCCAAGTTTGGTGAAAATTATGAAAAGAGGAATGAGGGGTCTAAAGGACAAAGTAGTCTTTCTGGTAAGGGATGACACTGAAACTTGGTGATGAGGTAAGTCTTATACACATAAGTTACACCATCGGGGTTCTATTGTATTGTTAGACAATGATAAATCAATTTTTTTAGAAAAATAAATTGCTCAGGAAATTAATTCCCTTTCCACTCTTACCACAGAACCAGGATACAGGCGCTTGATGCTTTCCATAATCTCTGCCTTTCGCTGCTGGCGGCTGCTCTCCTGGCGGTCAATGCGGGCATCCCCCAGCTGCTCCATCACCTGGTTCAACTCCTTATTGATCTCATCAATACGCCGCTTCGCCATCTCCACCTCCTCTGTCAGTTCCCCCTCAAGCTTCTTCTGCTCCTCCAGGGACTGTCTAGATAGTGGAGGATACATGGATTTATTCTGGCTGTACAGAAAATACTCCTGCCTGAAAGGAACTCTGGGGTCTTGCCATGGACAGCCAAGATAAGTAGGGTTCATGAGAACAGGCTAAAAGGGGAAGATTGCACAATCGCATACTTGCTAGTCGTGATGTATTCCTCCAGTTTCTCAATTCGCTTCTGGTTCTCTTCAATCTCCCGCAGTTTTTGCTTGATCTTAGCCTAGCAAAGAAACAAATATATATCATCACCAGAAGCTGAGTAAGTTAATTACAAGACCTGGCTTATACCCTCCGACAGGCCCACTCATCCAAATTCCCAGCAGTCCAGGACAATCTGTCACTAATGCAGGAGCCCTACTAAACACAGACATATAGGGCAGGAGACGTGGCTCAGCGGTATAAAGCACATTGTTCATATATGTCAAATCCTGAGTTCAGTCCCCAGAATCTCCTTCCTGGCCCACTGCCTCCCCCTCCCATACACATACATAAAAATAACATATGTATAAGACAGTGTCTCTGTAACAGATAAAGTTTCTCGGATCAATTAGGGAGGCTCAATATAATGCAAATAAAGCTTCAGAAGTCTTTCTGGACCTGTTTTCTCATCTATTATACAAATAGACAAACTCCAATTCAAAGAAAAATGTTTCCAAAATGAGTGATACCACCCCCTGGAGGTTGCTGGAACACCGGCGGGGGGGGGGGGGGGGGGCGGGTGTTGGCTATAGTGGGTGCAACTGGGTGGGTACCAACATATTTTTATTTGTTATTTGGGCCACAATGGGGTGTTAAGAAGCTACTATTGGTTCAGTATTCTGAGATTGCTCCAAGCAGTACTGAGTTCTGAGATTGCTTCCGGCAGACCATGTGGTGCTGGGGATCTAAACCAGATTTCCTGCATGTTAAGCATGCACTCACCCATTGAGCTAGCTCCCTGAAGGGGCACTTTCTGTTTGCTTAAAGAAGGCAGATTTTCAGGGGGCAGAGATGAGTAAATGTTTCTGAAAAGGGGTTAGAAAGCAAATGACTTTGGGAAAGTGATGAAATTTACATTAACTGCACAGCACAGGGGCCGGAAAGATAGTACAGTAGGTAGGGCAATTTCCTTGCATGTGGTTGACCCCAAGTTCAATCCCCCACATCTCTATGTGGTCCCAAGTTCTGCTGAGAATGAACTTTGACTGCAGAGCCAAGGGTAAGTCCTGAGCAGAGCCAAGTGTGGCCAAAAATGCAAAAATTAATAAATAAATTAAGTGCACAACAAAGTAGCTATTGGGCTCAGCTCCCCCCCCCAAGCCTGTAGTCTTTACCTTTTCTTTTTCTTCCATCCCTCCTTCCTTCCTCCCTCCCTCCTCAATCCTGCCTCTCTCAGTTGCTAGCACTCTCTCTCACACATTTCTCTAAGTACTGTTTTGTTTGTTTTTAGGTCATACCCAGCAATGCCCAGGGCTTACTCCTGACTCTGTGTTCAGAAACTACTCCTGGCAGGGCTTGGGAGACTATACATCATGGATTGAACCCAGATTGACTGCACCCAAGACAAGTGCCCTACCTACAGTACTACCTCACCAACCCCTCTCTTAAAGTAAATTTCCTTAAATAAAAAATATTTTACTTCACTGGGGGTTGGAGTGATAGCACAGCGGGTAGGGCATCTGCCTTGCACGTGGTCGACCCAGGTTCGATTCCCAGCATCCCATATTGTCTCCCAAGTACCGCCAGGAGTAATTTCTGAGTGCATGAGCCAGGAGTAACCCCTGTGCATCACCGGGTGTGACCCAAAAAGAAAAAAAATTTACTTCACTGAAAATAAATAAATGAGCCTAACACCGTCTTTTAAATAGTTAAGTCAGAGAAATAGTACAGCAGGTAGGGCGCTTGCCGTGCACATGACTTATCTGGGTTCAATCCCCAGCACCAATATGATACCCCAAGCACTGCCAGGATTGATCCCTGAGGAAAAAGTCAAGAGTAAGCCCTGAGCAACACTAGGTGTGAACCCCCAAATTCAAAAAACAAAAAAGAGAGCCTGAGAGATGGTACATGTAAGGCTTACATGTGACTGATCCAGGTCTGATCCCCAGCACTACATATGGTCTAAGTGATCTCTGAGCACAGAGCCAGGAGTATACCCTGTGCACAGCCAGGTATGATAAAAAAAAACAAAGTAAGAGCAAAATAAAACACATCCTATTTCTTCTACTTAATAATGATGTGGCTATATGATCTAGGGAAGTTGCTCAGAAGTAAGAGCATTTGTCTTGCATGTGGGGCCTTGGTTTCAATCCTTGGGACACCAAAAAATATTTAAAATTATGGTGTTCGCTGAGGCAACACATACACAACAACTGGAATGATACAGAGATAGAGAAGATTAGCACAGCACCTGAGCACCGATGACATGCAAATTCATGAAGCACTCCATATATTAAAATTTAAAAAAACTTTAAAATACAAGTAAATACAACTTTAAAATACAACTAGGCAAATCACTTCACTTCTTTATTGTAGTTTTCTCATTTGGAAAATGAGAATTAAATTAGTGAACACATATACAGCATGACGCCTAACACAGAATACAGCAAGCACTCACTGTTGGCTATAGTCATAACTGTTAAGACTATCATTATCTCCTTTACTCTGGTTCATCGTTCTACCTTTTAACACATGCCTACCTCTGTTTCCACTTTCTTCCTCTCTTCCAGATCCAGCCGGTCCTGGTCCGCTTTCTGGTCTCGATTGAACTTCTCAAGCTCCTGAGCCAGGGTAGCTGCTCTCTTGCTGGCCTCTTCTTTCAACCGATGGTATTTCTTTACCTGTGTTAGGGACAGGACAGGAGAACAAAGGTGATCAAATTAGCCCAAGTCAGCCCAGTGACCTCTTCATACTAACCCTTCCTCCTACCACCACCACCAATAGCTCTCCTAAAGCTTACCTGATTCTCCTCTAAGGTCAAGTCTCTACCCTGACTCTGGCTCTCCTCTTCCATCCGTTCCTCAAATTCTTGCCGGGCTTTTTCTACAGAGAGCATCTCCTTTTCTAACTCATCCATGTCACCTTTACGCTTCTTGAAATGCTTCTGAGCATTCTGTAGTGACTTCTTGGCTGCTTCTAACTTCTTGATTTTGTGGGAGGTATTTTCCTTGGCTTTGATGTACTGAGGCCGCTTCTGATTCAGTTCTGAGTCCTTCTCCCTTTTGTAGAGGATGAGGGGAAAATTAGTTATCCCTGCAGAAGGCAGGGTTCCCACAGTTTTCACCCAAAGAATGAGGGGGCAATCCGAGCACTCAAGTCAGCCTCACAGAATTATCTAAAAATGACTTGATGTTGGGGCAGAGGGTAGGTAATATAGAGAAGAGACCAATATGACAATAATACTTGGAAATGATCATGCTGGGCAAGAACTGTATGTTAGAAGTAGGTAAAGGGATATACACGACAACATTTCAGTATCAGTATTGCAAATCACAATGCCCAAAAGGTGGGGGGAAGAAAGAGGGATACCTACCATAGAGGCAAGCTGGGGGGGGGGGGTGATGGGAGGAAAATTGGGGACACTGGTACTGGAAAATGTACACAGTGGAGGGTTGGGGTTGGAATACTGTATGACTGAAACCTAATCATGAACAGCTTTGTAAGGGTCTATTTCACAGTGATTCAATTAAAAAAATTGAAAAGAATAAGTAGTCAAGTCACGGGTCAAGTCACGGTCCTCCCGTTGTTCATCGATTTGCTCGAGCGGGCCCAGTAACGTCTCCTTCATGAGACTTGTTGTTACTGTATTTAGCATACTGAATACGTCACGGGGAGCTTGCCAGGCTGGCCGGGCGGGCGAGATACTCTCGGTAGCTTGCCGGGCTCTCCGAGAGGGGCGGAGGAATCAAACTTGGGTCGGCCATATTGCAGCCAACATGGCCGACCCGAGTTCGATTTCTCCGCCCCTCTCGGAGAGCCCGGCAAGCTACCGAGAGTATCTCGCCCGCACGGCAGAGCCTGGCAGCTCCCCGTGACGTATTCAATATGCCAGACACAGTAACAAAAAAGTCTCCAACGGAGACGTTACTGGGCCCGCTCGAGCAAATTGATGAACAATGGGAGGACCGTGACCGGACCGTGAAAAGAATAAATTAATTTAATTTAAAAATATTAAATGACTCATGTCCATAGACCCCACTGTAACAAATCCCAAGGACACCATGTGTTCACCTAGTTCTTTTCCATCTGAAGTAAACTTGTTAAATCCCTGTCCTTTAACCTTGGTGCCTTAGTTTTCCTCTTCTAAAAATGGAGTTCTCTGCTTGCCTTGCACACAACTCACTTAGGTTCCATCCCTGGCATCCATTGTTCCCTGAGACCCTCCACCACAGGAGTAATCCCTCCGTAAGTGTAGAACCAGGAGGAAGCCCTGAGCACTGTCTGATGTGCCCCCTCCAAAATAGTTCTGCACTACTTCAGTGGCTGGGGTCTCCATCACTTCTCTTGTGGCAAGACCACTTTCTATCTTTAAGTTTTCTATTTGTCTAAATGCAAGTCAAGTGATATACCTGGTTCTAGCCAAAACACATCAAGGTGAAGTTAGAGAAACTAGCACAGAGACTGAACATAGAGACTGAACTGAACTGGCATAGAGGAACCCTAGAGAATAGCACAACTTCTTGATTTTCCACAATTTGGAGGCACTCATGTGCTCTTACTTGATCTCCTTTTCAATCTGCTGCTGCTCCCGCATCATTTTGCCCAGCTCCTTCTTCTTCTCCTTTAGCTCATCCTCTACCTTGTCCATACGTTTCTTGTCCTTCTCAATCTCCTTGTTCTTAGAGGCGAGTTCCTTATTGAGTTTCTCAATTTCCACTTCATTATGATAAAGCTTAAAAAGCTGCAGCTGTACCTGAGCACGAACTACCTCATCCTTTAGGCGCTGGTAGCGGTCAGCCTGTGCAAATGGAGAAAAGGAGGCCGTTACATAAGTAAGGCACTGACTCCATCCTAACCCTTCAGAATCCAAAGGAGGCCTGGCCACCTACCTCTTCTTTCTCCTGTTTGGCCTCCTTGCGTTCAGCCGCAATATTTTTTTTGCGATGGTAATTAAATTGTGTGTCCTCTTCAGCCTTCACCATTTCTTTTTTTCGTTTGTCATACTCCTGGGCCAGCTCCCCGGAGCGACTGATTTCTTCAAACAGAGCTGTTCTCTCTTTGGGGTTCTTCATGGCAATAGACTCTACAGCACCCTAGGAAAGGTCAAAACACTCTCCCTATTTAAAACCCAACCAGCCTATTCCTCTCTACCCACTCCCACTCATTTACTAAGATAAAATAAACTCACTAATTCCCTCTTCTCAGAATATCACTTTTCACAGTGAACTTTGAGGAAACATTCCTTGCTTTTCAAGGCACACAGTGAAGAAAAAATAGACAGAAGCAAAGGCAATACAATGTGTTAAGTGCAATAATATAAGAATGGAAAAGACTATATGAAGCTTAGAGGTTGAAGATTAGTAGGGGTATCTGTCTGGAAAGAGATCCTAAGGATGACAACTAAGCTGAATTTGGAAGATGGGAAAGAAGGAACCAAAAAAGAAGAGTTCATCCCATACAAAGGTCTGTGAGGCAAGTAAAGCAGGTAATTCTGGGGAAATGTAAATGGTTTCATTAGGAAAAAGAGTGGGGCTGGAGGGGCAGCATATTGGCAAGTGGAGCTGGAGAGATAGTTCAGGGGGTAAGGTACCTGACTCGCATGCAGATGACCCCAGTTCTCATGCCTAATACAGAAAATGGTCCCCTGAGTACAATGAGTAATCCATTAAGTACAAAGAGGAAAAAGCCCTGAGCACTGCAGGGTGTTTTCTTTTTAAAAAAACAAACAAAGCAGGGCTGGAGCAATAGCACAGCGGGTAGGGCATTTGCCTTGCATGCTGGGTTCGATTCCCAGCATCCCATATGGTCCCCCGAGCACTGCCAGGAGTAATTTCTGAGTGCATGAGCCAGGAGTAACCCCTGTGCATCAGCGGGTGTGACCCAAAAAGAAAAAAAAAGTAGGTGTTTCCTGAATTTGAATTTCATGCTAAGACAATGGTTCTCAAACGGTTCTCAAACTTCAGGGGTGGTGCTTGAACCCCTGTGGCCTTTGGATCTCCAAAGCGGTGCCCCCCTGGCATCACAGGCTTGGCCTGAGTCCTCCTTGCTGCTTCCTGGCCAGCTTCTGAAGTGGACCAAATAACAAATAAAGCTTTTGAAGCAACTGATTATGTGTATGTGTGTGGTGTGGTAGGGCACTCGCCGTGCACAAGGCCAACCCACAATCTATCCTCATCACCTCATTTGGTCCCCTGAGCACCAAACCAGTAATAAGCCCTGAACACAATTGCGTGTGGCTTATTCCTTCCCAGTCAAAAAAATTTCAGCATACAACCTAGAGATTTTGGTAAAAGAAAAATTGCTGGAACCTGCTTCAATCCCTGGCACACCATATGTTTATGGTCCCCAGATTCCCTCCAAGAGTGAGCACTGAGCAGAGAACCAGGAGTAAGCCCTGAGCACCACCATGTGTAGCCCACAAAAATAAAATTAATTACTAGTTAGCGATAATTTTTTTCAAAAAAGGAGGAAATGTGTTTCGAACAAATATATCCCCATGTGATACTGATGCAGAGACAGCATATGAGAATCACTATTGAAAGGCAATGAGAAATCACTGAAATTTTTTTTGGTTTTTTTTTAACCTTTTGGGTCACACCTGGTGGTGCTCAGGAACACCTGGTGGTGCTCACGGGACCATATGGGATGCTGGGGATCAAACTCGGGTAGGCTGTGTGCAGGGCGAATACCCTCCCCGCTGTACTATCACTCTGGCCTCACTGAAATGTTTTTATTTTAGTGCCACACCTGGTTATTGTGTTCAGGGGAACCTCCAGTGCCAGTGTTCAAACCCTGGCCTCCTACATGCAAAGTATGTGCTCCAGTCTGCTGAGCTAGCTCTCAGCTCAGAAATGTCTAACAAGACTATGGAAAGAGGAGTTGTAAGGTGGAGATATTATGAAGCCAATAGAGAGAACAGGCCCAGTAGGCAATAGGAAAAGAGCTGGAAAAAAGCAAATAGACAAAACTTACTTTAAATCCCCAGCTGGAAGCTGTGGGGCAGAGAGATAGAAGAGTGGGTAGGGTGCTTGCCTTGCACATGGCCGATCCAAGTTCAATCCCCAATCTAGGTTCAATCCCTGGCATTCTATATGGTCCCCTGAGGCCCGCCAGGAATGATCCCTGAGCACAGAGCCAGAAGTAAACCCTGAGCACTACAGGGTATGGCCCCCAACCCAAAACAAAATAAAATAAAAATAAAATCCCCACCTGTGGCCAGAGAGATAATTCAACAGGCTGGAGTACATGTTTTGCATACAGGAGGCCTGGAGATTCAATCCAAGTTAAGCCCCCCAGGCAACACCGGGAGTGGCCTTTGAGTACTGTGCTGTAAGAGGCACCTGAGTATTGCTGGGCGTTGCCAAAAAATGAAATAATTAAAATAAAACACCCACCTGGAAAACTTACAGTGGTTACCAAAGGGAAGGGAGTAGGGTAGAATGAGTAGAGAAGTCTTTGGTGATGGGATGGAACTAAAAATTTGGTGGTAGGTGTGGTATCACACACATATGCAGAGCTATACAGTGAAACCTCTGATAGTCCAAAACATAAACCAATAGATAAAAGCCCACCTGAAAGACGAGGAAGTTACGAGCCTTGATGAGAATGCCCAATTTCTCTAATTCCTCACTGTACTCATGTAGCTGGACCACTTTGTTGTTGATCTTATACTCAGAGGAACCCCCTACAAGACAAAAAATGTAAGTCAGTCAATGGTCAAGTCTTTGTTCTGTCCCAGTAAATTAATCTAGCCATCTCTCAGCACCCAAGAGACCCTTTTGAACAGCCTCACCCACCAACAATGACACGGGCAAAGGTGCGATCCTCGGCACCCTCTTCAGAGTAGACCATGCTGACAAAAGCCCGGTTGGCCGCTGGCTTGCCCACAGGAGCTCCGTGGATTAGGTCCCTCAGAGTCTTCACCCGCAAGTTGCTGGTTTTTTCACCCAATACAAAGCTGATGGCATCCATGAGATTTGACTTACCTAAGGGAGAAGAGACAGAGCAGAGGAGGTCAAGTTAGGAGGGAAGAGGAAAAGGAAAAAAGAGACAATGAGAACAAGCATCTTCGCTAAGCTAAGCATTCAGTGCTCAGACTAATGGAAGGAGAAAATACTGTTCTGCCCCCCATAAAGACTGCCCAGAAGCCCATGGCTTAACAAACTTGCTCTCCAAGGTAAGTCTATGTTCGAATCCCTGGTGTTGCCACATGCATTGAACATGCCCCTGGAAGCTCTGCTGGTTGAGCATCTATTCTGTCTGCAATGTCCAGCACAAGTGATTCTTATGAGCATATGCATGAGCACCCCAGTGCCTCACTGACAGCATTACAACCAGAATATGCATGCCTCAATTAAAGAGTGCAAGCTCTGGCGAACCACAACTCAAGATGTATATGTACCACAATTCAAGATATGACCTGATTCATGAATATCACAACTAAAAAAATGTGCGAACACCATGGCTAGACACGTGTTCCAGCAACTATCACCATCACCATAATAATAGTCAAGGGAAGGAAAAGGGAAGACAAATTTTTTAAAGGACCAGAATGAATGATAGCTCAATCTTAAGCATATGCTTTACATGCAAGAGGCCCAGGTTCCATTCCCAGCATCACATGGCTCCCAAGCATCAGGAATAACTCTGAAACACTGAACCCAGAGAAGCCCCTAAGCTCTACTTAGTGCCAGGTGTGGCCCCCAAACAAAAAAAATATATAATTTTTCTTTGCAGTATTTTTTTCTTTGCAGTTATTACAACAGTCAAAAACGCCCTGTTCATTCTCTACCCTAGAGACTGCCTCGCATCTCAACCTGAAATCTTAAGAATGTATTCTTTCTTAAACATGTCTCTGTCCATCTCTCTCCCACCCCCTCATATTCCTCTAAGCAAATTTTTAAAAATAAAATTATTTTACTTAACTACTTTGTCTCTTCCTGAAATTCTTTTCTGTAAGGAAAGGTGGCATTTCTGGAAAACCAGAGCAGAGGTTAGAACTACCTTTCCTTTTCCTGCAAAGAGCAATCCCTTGCTCCAGTCTAAGTCTATAGTTTTCCAGGTTGTAGGGACCAGTTCCGGCACTATGCAGACCAAGTAGACTTTAGGCACAGCTTTACAGCTGCCTTGTAGAATTGGTGGGATGCTAGTGTCTATGCGGTATAGGTGGTTGTAGCATACTTTACCGATTAGTCCTAACCCATGCCAGGTTTTTCCATGAGCGACCTCCATGGATCAAGAAGAGAGATGGAAACAGTTTTCTTAAGGCTACCTACTGCTCACTCCCCACTTCACTCATCACCTGTAACATATCCATCATCCTTTTATTCATCAGTTTGTTCATTATACAGTAAAGGTCAGGAGCAAAAACAAAACAAGAAAACAAATGAGTGCCCCTATAGAAATTATATATTCACAGAATTAATTTTTCTATATCCTGCAAGATATATATATATATATATATATATATATATCTTATATATAGATATAAGATCTCCAAGCCTGCACGGTTTGGGACTGGACCTGTCAGTAGCTAGACAGTTACACCCTCCAACTGCCGTGTAACCCCAACAACGGCCAGGATCCAGAGATTATCACAACAAGCTCCCGGGAGCGCGCGGCCGCAAATGCGGCCGCGTGGCTATTTATTTACTTTTCTCTAAGTTTTCAGGGTACCTTAAATATCCAACCCGCACGGCAGAGCCTGGCAAGCTATCCGTGGTCTATGCCAAATAGACCAAATTGATATGCCAAATCCAGTAATAAATGGATCTCATTTCCCTAACCCTGAATATGCAGAGTCGAGAAGGATATGGAAGGAGAGGCTGATAAAACACCAAGGCAGACATAGGCTGCCAAAACGCAGAAAAACAAAAATGATTGTCTGTACTTTTAATGCACGTATGCTGGCATCTGCTGCATCCATTGAAGACCTTATGGTACAAGCGCGAAAGATCAAGTACGACATCATTGGTCTGACCGAAAAGAGAAGACATCAATCCCATCATGCTGTTTTCGACACTGGAGAAGAACTGTTCCTTGGAACATGTGATAAAAGAGGCGTCGGTGGTGTCGGTATCCTTGTCAACACAAACTTAGTCACGAGCATTGATTCATTCCAATGCCTAACAACCCGAATCGGACGATTACACTTTAATAAATGTGGCTCACTACCGGCAGTTTCTATCTTTGTTGTCTATGCACCAACATCCAGTCATGGTGAAAGAGAAACTGAGAAATTCTACATGGAGCTGGAGAAGTTCTATAAAGAAGATCACACCTTCTACAAGATCATTGTCGGTGATTTTAATGCCAAGATAGGACCAAGAAGATTAGTCAATGAACTCCACATCGGAATCCATGGCCTGGAATGGAACGAACAGGGTGACAGACTGTCTGAGTTCATCATGTCAACCAAAACCTTCCATGGTAACTCACAATTCCAAAAGGCTGAATCTAAACGTTGGACATGGGAGTCTCCCGATGGACGGTTCCACAATGAAATAGACCACATCATATTCAATCGGCGGTTTTGCCTAACCGATGTTGCTGTTGTCCCAAAATTCCAAACGGGATCAGACCACCGTCTTCTTCATGCAAAATTCTACCTCACAGAACGAGGAGAAAAGAATGCAAGGTTTAAGAAGAGGACTCCCAGAACAACCACCAACTGGGAGCTCTTTGGCTCTATTGCGGCAACATGGGAAGATGCCGTCATTGACAACATTGATGAGGAATACGATCGAATGATTCAGCACCTCCATGATTGTGCAAGGAATGCCAAGAGAGAGATAACCACAAAAAACCGTCTTTCTTCGAACACTCTTGAACTTATTCGCCAACGTGGCTTGGCACATGCCTCAGGCAACCACAAGCGAACATCCGAACTGGCAAAACAGTGCAGAGAAGCCATCAAGGATGACCTCAAAAACAGGAGAGCAGCAGTACTGGTAGATGCAGCAGAAGCTGGGAAAAACATTCGTAATGCCCACCTGACCTTCACCAACTACAAAACCAAGATGACTGCCCTCCGACATCATGATGGATCTATCACATCTTCCAGAAGGGCAACGGAGAAGATTATTCATGACTTCTACTCAGATCTCTTTAATAGCCACATCCACTTGCCCACATACCACATACCACATGATGGATATGTCGTTCCCAATGTTCTCCCTTCCGAAATCCAACATGCCATCTCGTCGGTAAAGAAACAAAGAGCACCTGGCCCAGACAAGATCAGACCTGAACACCTGAAGAACTTACCATCAGTACTCATCAATACATTGGCTCGACTCTTCACATGCTACCTGTCTGAATGCAAGGTTCCATCCCAATGGAAAACCAGCAGGACTGTACTACTATACAAGAAAGGAGACATCCACAACATTGGCAACTATCGCCCAATCTGCCTATTGTCTGTCATCTACAAACTATTCACTCGAGTCATCCTGAATAGGATTAGCAGAACACTAGATGAAGGACAACCATGTGAACAAGCTGGATTCCGAAAAGTATTCAGTACCATCGACCATATCCACACAATAACCAAGCTCATTGAGGTATCTCGGGAGTTCAAGATGCCGCTCTGTCTAACGTTCATTGATTTAACGAAGGCCTTTGATTCTGTTGAGACGGAAGCAGTCATGGAAGCCCTAGCCAATCAGGGCGTACAAACTCAATACATCAGGATCCTTCGTGAGCTCTATTGCGGATTCACTACCAAGATCTCAGCATTCTACAAAGAAGTAATCATCCATATCAAGAGAGGGGTTCGGCAGGGTGATACCATTTCACCGAAACTCTTCAGTGCCACCCTCGAGAACATCATGCAACGACTGGAATGGGAAAACATGGGAGTGAAGATAGGTGGTTGGCAACTACACCACCTCCGCTTTGCTGATGACATCGTTCTAATAACACCAAACATCAGCCAAGTGGCACAAATGCTGAACGACTTTGACCGTGAATGTGGAAAGGTCGGACTACAGCTGAATCTTACGAAGACAATGTTTATGAGAAACAGCCTTGTTCCTGACGCTCCATTCACTCTCAACGGAACCACCATTTCCGAATGCAACAGCTATATATACCTAGGTCGAGAAATCAACATGATGAATGACCTGGCACCTGAGTTGCGCAGGAGGAAGAGAGCGGCTTGGAATGCCTTCAAGAGCATGAAGAAATAACTAAAAGGACAAAGAACCTCCAGCTACGAGCACATCTCTTTGATTCCACTATTCTTCCTGCATTAACATATGCCTCAGAGACCTGGACCCTACGAAAACAGGATGAGAACGCTATTCAGGTCTCTCAAAGAGGACTCGAAAGAACTATGCTTGGAATATCACGATTCACTCAAATGAGAGATAGAATCCGGAGTTCTGATCTTCGTCAACGCTCAAGAATCAGGGACGCTGTCTCATCTGCCAAGACATCAAAAATCAGATGGGCTGGACACGTAATGAGGTTTACAGACAACCGCTGGACTAGAGCCATTACTGATTGGATTCCACGGGACATCAAAAGATCACGTGGACGCCCACCTATAAGATGGTCAGACTTCTTCGTCAAGACCCTAAATGATCGGTTTGAGGCTCTGCATGTTCCTAGGACGAACAGATACCATTGGGCTACACTAGCAAGCAACCGGGATGAATGGAGACGTTACTGGCACCCGCTCGAATAAATCGATGAATAACGGGGATTAAGTGATTAAGTGATAAGTGATATCCTTTCATGACCTGGGAAAATATCCATAGTAGGAGAAATACGCAAGATGAAAAATTCATAACCAACCCAGTTATAAAAACAAAAAAGTGAGTGGAGACTGGTGAAACAGCTCAGTAGTTAGGGCCCATGCCTAGCATAACATAACCAACCAGGATTGAATTCCTGGTATCACAGAGCTGGTCACCTGAACAATGGTTGGAAGAACCCCCCAAAAGGGAACTGAGAAGAAATGAGAAGCTACTGCTTAATGGAC